ATAGAGTTGTCATTGAGTTGCAAAAAATTGCATCATGCTTGGTGACATAGCGAAGTTTTATTTTTTTCGAAAGAATTTTTCCAGAAAAATACTGAATACCAAAATGTAAGTATTAAATGCACAGTTTGAAAGGTACATTTGACAAAAGAAAAGGCAGCTCTAAATATGTACCAAAAATTGACAAACACAAATGATTAACTAAGTTTACAACAAAGTTCATAATGATAAACTTATATCTTCTGAGTAAAAAATTACGGAAAAAATATGAGGAATGTACAGTGGAATGGAATAGGAATGAAAAAGTGAAAGCTTTAGCTCAAAAAGGTTTTGAGCTACAAATTGTTCTTTCAGGCAGATCAGTGTGCCAGACACCAAAAAAATTTCTCACTGTGAAGCACAAATGGACACTGCATGTGCGGCAGAAAACGTTCGTCTTATGTTGAATTTTGTTCTCTTGGTAGCACTTTGTAGAGTTGCGCCGTATGTCCAATCTCTCAGGCTTATGATGTACACCTGTGGGTGGCCGAACTGGAGAACTTGCACGCGACTTACAGCAGACATTCCCGGTTCATCTGGTGAAATTTCTTCATCTGAGCTGAACTCTGACGTCGCCACGTCATTGTCCGAGTCTTCACCTCTCGACAAGTTCAAAAGATTGCTCGTGGAAGCATTGGCATCGAGCGAAATTGCTGTTTTCTGAGAGTGCGTTGTTCCGAACGTCGACGCCATCGCGCGGCTTACATGCGCTTCAATCTTTGAACTCACGCGTCCACTAAATATCGCTGCCCCGTGGTAAAAAAAGCGAACCCTGCAGGAAAAGCATTGCTAGTGTGTTGACAATCGCCTCGATAGAGTCCCAAAGCGTGGTAGTTGTTCAAAAATAGTCGCGCGAAATCATCGGTCACCGGTGAATGATGCCTAGTGGCGTGGTAAGGAAAGAGTTAGGGCAAAGTTCTGAACACCCATTTACGTGGCAATGTTTCGAGCTTTCTGCTTGAGGATATGTCGGCTTATGGGCGAATGGGAACTCTGTGCACACTTGAACCACAGAAAAATATAATTGTTTATTAGGCCTCATCAGCATTTGTTTAGAGGTAAAGGTCCCGTTCTTTACAGCGCCTTCAATCCTTTCTCTGTTTTTCAGATCCGCGACAGCGTCATTTCAGGATGTTGTATTTTTTTACCACCTCCATCTTGGGCAGGTCGCTTCTGCTTGAGCTTCTGAAGAATTTAGAGTGTCTTTTCTAGCGAGAGTGCATGGTGTAGCTGCTTCCTTTCCATTGGGCTGAAATATACACCCTGATCAACCGCACCTAGCCGCACAAATAGGCCTAATACACAAGTGGGGCTCTTCGATTTTCCACTTCTGGCTACCTGCAGGCTGCCAGAGCGCACTCGTTCTTCTCGGGCTGCTTCATCCCCCCGCGGCGCACTTCCGGTCGGCGTTCGTTTTTCTCGGGTTGGACGTTCTGGCGACCCTCGGGCTCCCCACGGGTCGCCAGACGCTTCCAGGACAATTTAGTCGTGGAAGATCTCTGGAAGGCTTTGGGCAGCTAGGAGACGCCGGAAAGATACGATGCGCACTTTGTGCCATCTTTGTGTGGACTCGACGGATCGCAAGTGTGGGCGTTGCGCGACCTTCGGCTGTCAATTTACTTGGCATGGCAGCGGGTATTTGAAGCTAATATTTCTGGCTTTTTTGTTGTGTGTGTCCTGTGAAGCTTTGAATTTCTTCCATGAACACCGGCGCGCTGTAGTCCGCTGACTGCGCTGTCTCATGAGTCGCGGCTCCTATCGAGTTTACCTTTATGTGTTTGTGTGTGAGGTGTTTGTTTTCATATATTTCGCATTGATGCTTTTCATGACGCCTGCTTTCTGTTGCTGTGGGTTGTGTCCAAGTTAGGAATTTTATTCGTTGGGATATGTTGCATTGCAATGAAATATCTGATTACAATCAAACATGGCGAACATTCTATTTTAAAAGTATTAAAACCAGCTGTTTCAATTTAGTAGGTCATAGAATTCACGGCCCCTTTCAGACCTCAGCTTATCACGGTGGTGTAATGTTTTCCTTTTCTTGTTGCTTTTTTTCTGCAGTTGCATAGCGAGGCGGGCGCAAGAACAATGATTGTTAGGTTGTTTGAAAAATAAATAGAACTGCCTAAAACTCAATTTATCAATTTATCAATTTATCATAACCATTAAGAACTTTGTCGGTTAGTTTCGCAGTCGATTCTTTGTGCACTTACAGCGCACTTATTCAGCGAAATTGGAGTACTCGGTTGATGACATTATTCTTTTACAATAAAAATGTATATACAACCTTGTGAGTATTCTGTACACTTTGCCACGGTATAAATTCAAAAAAAAAACATCACCTGCATATATGTTATTTAATACCCAAATAATGTGGAGGTTTATTTGGTATGAGGTAGTTTTTAAGGTAGCATAGTGTTTAGTTCGTGTTTTTTCGTGCACTGAAAAAGTACGGTAACTTTTATGGGCTTCTCAAGCATCGTAAAGCGTCGATATTGTATATTAAACATATGTCGTTTCATTCTAAACGTTAATATGTAAAATTAGTTTTTTTACAAAAAGAACATATTTAATTTCTTTAATTTCTCTGGTTAAAATCGGACGTTGTCCAGCATTCTGCAAAAAAAAAAAAAAAAAAAAAAACATTGTGTGGTTCGGCCATCTATTGCGGTACAATGCGTCAATGAAGTGTGATTATGACTAGTTCAGCACCTCTCCATCGATAATATATGCGCTTCAAATCAAATGCAGGTCACTGAAAAATAATTATGCCACAAACATAGTCGCAAAGGAGGAAGAAAAGGCACAAATTCGCTGCCCGGTTGATAATGCGGCAAGGCTGGGAATGTTACTGTACAATCAGATGATATTTTGTATTTTTGATACAAAATCTGACAATGAATTTGCATTATTAATGGAGGAATCTAAACAGTTCCACACAGAGTATGGAAAGAACAAGTGCTTGAAAATGTCATTGTGGTAATTGTGCTCTTTTAGTGGGAGTGAATGTTTGTGTCAGGTTATGCGGGATTCGAATGAATGGATGCACAATAATGTGTCAATTTTATAATATTTGTGTAGAATAGAAGCTGGAAAAGAAATTTTATGTGCGCTTGCTGCACTCTTATCGCCAATGTTTGGAGGCCACAGCTTGTGAGCATATTTGTGGGAAAATCAGTTCTTTTATATTTGTTGCAGATAAATCTCGTGGCCTTCCCTCTGCACATATTCTAGTTTTTTCATGTTAGTGACTGTGTAAGGAAACAACACTGTGTTGGCATATTCTAATACCGGTCTAATGTACGTGGTATAGGCTAAAACGTTGGTAGATTGAGGGGTCACTCGGACGAATTTGGGAAGATAAAATAGCTTTCGCAGGGCAACTGCAGTCATATTGGTGATGTGCGCATCCCATCGATGATCTGAATTCAATATATACTGTAAATTTTGACACTAATTCAAACAGTAGCAGCGTTTCAATAGTAGCAGGCTGAAAATTCTATAGGAAATACAGGTTATGTTGAAAAAATTCTTATACTGAGCTGGCATAAGTTAATATTTAAAGGAAAAGCGAATGAAGTGCAAAATTGAGACTTCACGGCAGTACGGAATTTTTCTGACAAGGTGGTTTCATGACAAAGCAAGTCTATTGCACAGTGAAACAATCTTTAGAGCGGGTGACATGTGGTGGAATGTCTTTTCAATTAACTACTTTCAAAGTTTGAGTGCACGTCAGAGGAAATTTCACAACTGTAATATTACAGTTGTCAAATTTGCTTTGTTACAGTTGTCGAATTTCCTCTGACAGTTAGAGTTAGAGATATTAAAGTTATAGTTAAAGATAGAGTTAGATTAGAGTTACAGTTGGAGATAATAAATTATAGATATATATCTGTAATTTAATATCTAGCTGTAACTGTATCGATAACTCGATTATTTGCACACAACTATTCAAAAACTAACTGACTAAACAAAAACTGCGTGTGGACCGTTAAAACATGTCGGTGGGCTAGTTTGTATGCATCCATGAAGACAGGGACATCATGAGGAGATGCCTTCATGCGTGCTACTGCTCTGGGCAATGCTATATTTCTTGTGCCGCATCAGCGAGGGAAACTGTCGTTATTTGAACAGTGAGGCTCGACTCTTCGCTTCATACGATCAACAATGGCGAGCGGAGGCACATTATCGGGTGCAAGGTGCTCGAAGACTGCACACTTTCAGCCTTTTAACAGGCACCTTGTGCTCTTCAGACGTAGTCTAAAGCGTTTCCAGTTAAGTCTCAACATGCATTTTTTTTTTTTTTTCAGAAAAGTAGAGGTACTAATCTTGTAAAAACAGGCGAAAATAAAAAATCATTCGTTTTGAAGAAAACTCGCATTTTTCAACCTGCATCTCCCCTTAACCTTTGATTCATGCTCATATATCAAAGTGGCATGATAGGAAAATAACGAACAATATAGGCATTTGCGTAAAGTCTGGTCTCTTGACTTACCACTTGCATTCTAATGAAAATAAAGTCCTGCTACTATTCAAAATTGGTTCCACTTCCTTTAAACCCAATAAAATGACATCTGCTCATGCCTTGCGTTCATTTTTAAAATGTGCAGGTTGGTTGGATCATGACAAATCGTGACATTTTTCTTTAGACGGGGTGCTATATAATATTTCAATTTGATTTAAATTTGTTGACCCGAATCACTATTTGCTTCGAACCTGAACTTTTTGAACAAGCCTATTAAACTCCATATATTTTTATATTTATATGAAAGCTTGAAAAATGCTGTGCTTTGTATAGTATTTACTGACATGTGTTTGGGAGTGCTTTCAGAACTTGGCAGTGTGTATTTCCGCAATATGCTGCAATTGTCACGTGATTTGTTAAGCTGGTGCTGAGGGCTCACAAATAAGGTTCATATTTTTTGGTGAGGGTCTTTCTTTTGATGTTTGCCTGTTGCTCGCAGGTGACAAGTGCTGTCAAGAACTCGCTAATGGCTAGTCAGTGTGGACAACCAGCTGAGGGCCCCATGGGCATCAGTGTTGCTATCTCGCCCACCACTTCTACGACTACAGTTTCAAAGGCCATCATCACGAATGCCTCCTTCCGCACCAAAAAGCTTCCAGGTCAGTTGCAGAGCTCGGCCTGTGCTCAGTGCATCGTCTGCCTTCCTTCGATCAGTTGCACATAAATTTATATGCTGCGAAAACCGCATATACATATTACAAAAGCATTCATCTTCAAATACGGTAAAACCTTGCTGATCTGACTCTCAATAATGCTGGAAAAATTTGTTAATAGAAGAAATTCATAATGCTTTCTGATCTGGCAACACTGGGTGCGTCTGCCATGTTTCGTTGGGCACCGTTGCGGAGTGGTCTGGTAGTATCTCCTTAAAGATAGGTCACTGAGAGGCTGAGCTGCCCTTGTCAGCGGAGCTTTCCGATTAAAAAATCGCAGCAAATCCGCGGACTGAATGATGATTAGTGGAGCGAAGCATCCGTCCGTTCGTGTATCCATACGTCCGTCCAACCGTGGCTCGATCTGTCCGTCCGTGTATCTGTCTGGCCGTCTAGTGAAGACTCTAAGTACCACCATCTCTCACCTTTTCATCATATATTTATTATACACAAGTACCACCATCTAGTGGACATTCCAAGAACAAAACGAGAGGCAGCTACCTACTACATACATCGAGGACTCACGGCTTCAGGAGCTTCACCCCTAAAAGCCTATCTCCTGTGGCACATACGCGCTCTCTCGGGTATGTGCAACCATTAGTTACAAACGATAATGGGAGACGAACGGGGGACACCATAAGGAGCTTCGCCCCTAAAATGCAGCTTTTTTATTCGTCATCTAGCGCCAAACGGTTAGTGACCCTCTCTGTGCTGCAATAAATTGACAATAACGCAATAATGGAGCACCGGGCTCTGCAAAATTTATCCGGACGTGGCAGCTGCACAAGGCGCGATGCTTCGCAAAGCCGAACAGCTGTTTTCTATTGGCATGTGAATGAATCTGAGGTAGTCGTTCTAGAAAAGGGTGCATTGCGGAGAAGATCTGTTTCTTGAACTTCTCAGATAGCCAAGCGCAGCAATACATCTCTATTGTATTTACCACTGTGATATCGTACAGTCAACTGCCGATTTTTCGGACCCTCTAGGGAGCGAAAAACCATCCGTAAATTTGGGCAGTCCGAAAAAATGAATGCAAGAAAAAAAAACGCATTATTTTACTGATAATTTCCAATGCAAGCAAAAAAAACGCACCATTTTGCTCATATTTCTCAATTCAAGCAAAAAACGTACCATTTCATTGATATTTCTCGGATCAAGAGGGTCAAGGTCCAAGTACCAGACTTCCGGAACTCTGCCAAAGCATCAGTGGGGTGGCTCTGAATAGAGCCGATAAAAAAAATGCATGCAGCTGACAGCGAGTGCCGCAATTAAGCCACACGACGAGAGCGTCCTCAAGCTTCGGATGAACACCTTGTATTGCATTCATCTTTTGGGCACCAGACGGTTTTTCGGCCGCTTCCAAGATCTTGGCTTTGTTTCTCAGGAAATGGGAAACTGCTTGGAAATGCCGAACTTCTTGCTCACGTCAGCCTGCGATCGGCGACTCTTCACTAACTTAATAACGGTGGCTTTCTTCTCCATCGTTAACCGACGGTACTGTTTTCCGCGCTTCGATGCTATCGGCGAGGACGACGAAGGTGGAGTGGGGGCCATCGCAGGCAAGCGAAATCTTCACGATGTGAACAAAGGAGTTTGTTGACGAGTGTCGAAGCACCTAGGCTTAGCGTTGCAGATCACACTTCACACGATCGCACAACCATGCACTAGGCTAGCCAAACACCATGTGGGCTGCGTAAACAAAACGGCGCGACGGCAGGCGACGGTGCCTCGGGTACTCCGAAGGTGGCGCTGGTAAACATTCAAGATTCCAGCGTGGCCAGACCTAATCTGTGTGTGACGGTTAGTTCTAGTTCGAAGTGGCGAAACGCTTCGCGAAAGCGCTGCGCGGGAAGCCAGAGTGGCACGCACGAGTACAAGCGCTAAAGCGAAAGGAACTTTATTGGCGCCAAAAAATTTTACGGTGGATAGTTTCAATTGTCAGCGAAGCACCCTTGCACGATAAACATGGCCAGTGTTAGGAATCTCGGAGGCCGTGTGTGTTTCTCCGCTAACAATCAAAGAGTCCAAGCAACAGATGCCACCACAGTAGACTGGCGCGCTCACTTATGCGATCGTAATTGCGTATGACGCAGTTGTGGTGGTTTTCATTGGAGGTCAGTGGTGGTTTCCAACCTTTCGTCGCGTCATAAAGTATGGAAAATTGGACTCCGGGAGGTTCGAGCGTCCGAAATTTCAGACTTCCTTATACGTTGATTCTATGGGGCTCTTGGCGGTGCCGCGAAGATGCCCGAATTATCGGGCATGTTCGAAAATTCGGGTGTCCGAAAAATTGGCAGTTGACTGTATACCGAAACACTGTTCTTTTTTCTGCATGACCTGTGCGACGCTGCACTGCATTCTGCGACTCATTTCTTTAGCCATCCTTCTCAACAGCGTGTGTCATAGTTTCTATAAATAAAGCAGGTATCGATATGTGCGTGAGCAATGCGCCGCACACCAAACTAAAATAGTGATCGCACATTTTGACTGTATATGTAGAGAGTGTCCTGAATAAGCTGTTTTAATACACACTGGTTGTTCACGTGTAAAATCTGTTAGCGTCTTCTATTCTGCTTTTGTTAATTGTTAGGGTTTCGCATAGATGGCCGTAAAAACCAAAATAGGATGGAAAATGCAATACACGACGCACGCATTGTTAAAAGATGAAAAAGAAGCTTGTATTTAATAGAGCAAACTTGGTTACAATATTAATCACACAACTGTTCAATACCGCACAATGCACAGCCGCTCACGTCACTCGCAATTCGCAGACTCCTCTTCGCTCGCTGTTCTCACTCTGTTTCTGGCTCTTCCCGCGCTTTTTTGCTCTGCTCTTCTGACCTCAGGTTCGAGCACACATACGCGCACGCCGACACAAACACACAACGAACACATGTGCACTAATGGTTTCTCGTAATCTAAGGGTGTGGTCTTTTGCTTCGCCATTTGGGGAAGCAGTGTCGAACATTTTGGGAAGCAGTGTCCTGCAGGACAGGAATGCGCAAAGTGTCATGTTTCCCCCCTCTTGCATCTGAACCAGCAAGGTGCAATAAAGCGGGGCTGCCTCCTTTGTCCCGACCTGGTGCCTGTCGCAATGGAAAGCTCGCCAATCGCAGCTGCCCATAAAAGGGCCCCCTTCAAGTGGCCAACGGACACTTGCAAAACACTAACAGACGTGCCAAAAAAAAAGAAGAAAACAAAACTTGAAGAGATGTGGAGTAGTCGCAAAACACTAACAGACGTACCAAAAAAAAAGAAGAAAACAAAACTTGAAGAGATGTGTAGTAGTCGTGTACAAGTCACAGCTGTCGTAAAGCTGCTTAGGACGTCAGCCGTAAGCCTCTGCGACTATTTTGTGCAAACACAGCTTTTAAACCACTGAGAAACAGTACCATGCTTGTCTTTCAGATGACATTCCAATCCCAGAAGACAATATAGACAACCTACCACTGCCAACTGACGCGGGCCTCTTGGGCATTATCAGGGAGGAAGGCGAAGAGGTGGCTGGAGGTGCGATTGCAGGTGCCAAGGCAATGATGCACGGCCTGCCTGGCATGCGCAAGCTCGTCAAAGGCATCACACGCAAGGAGTCCATGGACAAGGCTGCCCCTGCAGCTGCTAGTGGAACGGACTTGAAGAGCCCCATGTGAGTCACAGCTTCACTTATTCGCTATGTACCAAAGAATTTTGGTGAACTGGGCACATTTTTATGAAGAGTGGTGTAAATCACAGGTGTAAAATCTGGAGTCGTGACAAAACCGATTTTTACGGCCAACTCCAGCAGCTTTTTCAGCTCAGGGCATCTCAATAACATCTATTGGCTGCATTATTTTGAACATTTCCGTTATTTTTGCCAAGTTGCAGACTGGAATGCCGTCCAGACTATTTACAAATGAATTTTATTCATTGCCTTAAATCGCCCACCTAGTTTCCCACAATTACAGTGAACTCCCATTGAAGGAGTGTAGTCACTTGTTCCATAGAATTTCGCAAAAATTATCTAGAGGGGGCTCTTTCACTGTGTTGGTGAGACACCATGGGAACGATGAATATGTAGTATATGGATTTGCCTAGTCTTTGTGCTTGCGGCTTCAAACGCAGGCGGGGCTTTATTTATTGTTGTTTTGGTTTTGTTTCGAATAAAAGAATGGACGAATGTGAATATTGTGAGCTGATTGGAATGGGCGCTGAAGGTGGGGAAGCGTAACGGCGAAACTTTTGCTCAACTTTTTTTTGAGGCAAAGCGAATTGACGCCCTATGAAGCCATGTGGAGCAGACAGAACGGAGATTAGACAAATCCATGTGCTACCCATCATTCCCACGCTGGCTGAAGCACCGTGCATTACAGCTCCTATTGCACCAAGAGTTCCCTCCTATGCGTATACAGTAAAAGCTCGTTAATTTGACGCCCGTTAATTAGGAAATTCGGATAATTCGGACGGCTCTATTGGTCCCGGCCAAAGTGCATGTTAATCTATGGGACCAAACCTTCGTTATTTCGTCGGAATTTGGCTCCGCACCGCTTAATTCGGACAAATGCTGACGGCTGCTGCTACACAAAAGTGTGATAAAGCAGCGCTGCCACCACTGGAGTGAAACCGAAACCTGAGTGGCATCGCCATCATCAACTAGTGGGGGCGATCGCAGCGTCACCGAACGTCGGCGTCTTCTTTGTTCTCCACTCAGCGCCTCCGACGCCTTTTTCCCTTGTGTTGTCGTGTCGGAACCATCTCTTCTTGCGGAGTTCTCTTTTTCTTCTATTGTGACCGTATTCGCATGTCGCTACCATCGTGCGCTACAGTGATGGCAACGCCGAAAAAGCGGCAGAGTCCACCGACCGAGTCCACTGACGATGACTGCCCGACTTTCGATGCTGTCCTTCCCACAGATGTGACCTTTCAGGACTACATCGCGATTGATCATGGTGTCGCCACGAGTGGTCTCCTGACCGATCAAGAGATTATTAATGATGTCACGGGCGCCCATGAAGACCACGATTCTGACGAAGAATCATGCGAGGAGATACAGCCGCGACCTCATCGCACCTCACGGGAAGTCTCGGAGGCGCTGTTAATATTACAGGACGCTTGCCTGAACACTCCCGACAGCTTGCGTGCTGTTGGCCATTTGGAACAGTTAAGAAAAATTGTGATGTCAGCCGGAATTTGCGCGAAAACGCAGATGACAATTACAAAATACTTCAACAAATAAAGGTATGCTTCTGCAGCTTGATTTTAAATGTTGTTTTCCCTGTTCATTCCTTAATTCGGCATTCGGTTAATTCGGACAGTTTTTCCGGTCCCGTGAAATCCGAATTAATGAGCTTTTACTGTATATGTACAGATAGGAAACTCCAATTTGCTCGTCTTATCAGAAGCGCTCCCCAAGAAAATATGCTAACAGGCTAAGTGCATTGAACTTTGTCACAGTGGCGAAGAAATGACTAGCAAAAGCATTTATTTGGCTCAAATTGATAGAAAACTATGCCTTCACGTGGACTATTTAGACGAATCGGATGAGCGCTCGACCTGGCAGGTTCAAAATAAATATGCTCATAAATATATTGCCACCACATTTTAACAATGAAACTGTGGCAAACCTCTGTATTGACAATTGAAAAAAAAAAAAAAAAGACGAGCACTATTTTTCTTCAAAGAATGAAAAATTTATTCTTCTGGCAGTTTATAGTCTTCTGTGAACCTGTTAAACTGGCTCCAATGTCACTTCTAAAGATGCCTCGATTGCATGCCGTTACCATGACAAAGCCAATCTACGCTGGGTTGCTTAAGAAAGTCTGTAAGCTTTTCTTCAAGGTCCAAATATATTCTAGTTTGCAGCCCCTAGTAACTTTTCGTTATTGGCGTGCAGCTGAAACCACCATTTGTGCAGCTTATGGTCACAAGCCCTGGCACACAAACAAAGACATGACACAGCTATATTTGGTGTGTGACATAACCTTCCTTTGTCATGTGCTTTCGTTTTGCACCTCATGATGTGCACAAGTCGTATGCGAAATAATCTGAATTGTCCACAATAGGTGCTGGGATTCCATGGTATGACAGCGATGACTACACATCTGATTAGGATTGTGTTAATATTGAAGTGCTTCAAATATGCAGATGAATATCACAGGATTTGAGTTCACTTTGACGATTCGAATTTACACTATTAGAAATTTCGAAGTATTCGAGAGGAACAAATAAATGTATACATATTGGTCTGCATGTAACTTTCTGTAGATGTTACAGACGGTATACCACGAAAACACCTACCCAGGGTAAATTCGCACTGCTGTGAAGCCCCACTTCAAAGTTAAAGGGGCCCTACAACACTTTTTGAGCATGGTCAGAAAACGCTGCCGATCGGCAGTAGAAGCTCCCGACAACACGCGAGCCAACTAATATAGCGCAGCTCACGGCCTGCAATTCACAACAAAAATTATCAAAATCAGCTAGAAATAGCTTTTTCTTCTCTTGACAAATCAAGGAATTAAGCCCAGTAAGCCCATCTATCAGCCATTGGCTAATTTGAACATGGCACGCTCAGTTGTTAAAGAGGTCGCCGTGAGAGACCGTCACTTGTCCACGCGCACGCAGGCGATTGCACTGTAAAAGCCGTGTATTCTAAGAAAAAAAAAAGAAAGAAAATGCTCAAGGTCACGAGGCGCGAGTGACGTTTTTTGTTTGCCCTCCCATTCCTCTCTACTCGGCTATCGGCACTTTCGTCAGGACGAGAGAAGAGAGAATGTGATTGCAGCGTGTGACAAATCTTTGTAACTCAGCTCGTACTGGACGAATTCTTAAAATTTTTTGGGCATTCAATTTGTGAGGTAATACCCTTTTACAGTGAATTAATTATATTGTTACCCAAAAAAATGTTTCAGGGCTTCTATAAATCAACATAAGTATTACATTACGCCATTCATTTTTTTAAGTTGAGTATTGGGGGACCCTGAAGCTTCACCTTTGCGAGTTCAACGCGATTATCTGGACCTAGTGCATATGCTTCAACCACTTAGTGCATACTTTTAATGTATGATATTACTCGAGGAGTTCAAATTGTGGATTACTACAATGTGATCTATAAAGTTGACAGGCGGCTTGTGTCGGTGAAATCTTTCCATATGGCTGCATTCAGTGTAAGGGGTAGCATGCTTTAAACCATGAACAATTATGTGCTTGAAATCTTCTCAAAGTTGCTTTGCACCCACCACGTGGACTTTAGGGAATATGTACAGTAATAGACAATCATAGTTTATCATTAGCGTGATAGGGGTAGTTAGAGAGTAGTGTTGCTATGCCGCAAACGTTCATTCTGGTAAGCGACTTATACGTTTACTTGCTTTACGTGCCCCTGCTGGGACGGTGGCACCATGTAGCAGAGGGTGAATAAGTTAAATAACAGGATAAAGAAAAAAAAACGAGAATGTTTACATGTGTCACCACAGCAAGCAATCTTACAAGTCCTTTTTTTTTAGCAATAGTAAAAGTAAATGAATATGAACCATGCACCAAACACAACAATATTTATATATATTGCCAATTTGTTTTCATTTTTCTTCCCTAGATATGTTTGAAAAGGGAAGCTATCTCGAAAACTACGCTAACTTATCCCTAATACTCGGTCATCGAAGCCAGCTGAATACAAGCAAAGCCATTTTAAGCAGTCGTTTGCTGCGAAGGGAGTGATTATTTCAAAAACTACGCCAAAATCACTTTATAAGTGGGCGCCTGAAATCGCCATGTTCTATGTACACTACATAAGCCACGCTAACACAATAATGTTAAATCTGAAAAGTAGCATCTGTACGGTGAGTAATACGGGTCACGCACATTACTGCACATGCGCACTTTGATCCCACTATCTCGATAAGTCCGGTATACTATAACTGTCTAATGCCCGTGCCTTCTGTAATGGGTGGTTGGCTTTAAACTAGGAAGTCGTTGTAATAGTTGCATGTTCTGATGCCCGATGGCTATGTACACCTGTTACATGCACTATTGCTGCAACGTTACATGGTAGTCAGGGCTCTTGAGAACACTCGTGCAAAATATTGTAGTGCAGCATGCAGTCTGGAGTTTGTAGTTAATTCTAAAAGTCAGCTAGATATTGCTCGCTCATCTGTCGAGAAATGATGCCGTTAGCCCAAGTGCCATCATCCCAAAGTCTGTTTGAGCTTCACCAGCTACATAATTATCGCAGCCGCTGCGAGATGCTGGCGCATGCTTGTGTGCCTGCGATTACGCTGAAAATTATCCGTCATTAGAGGGAAAAAGAGAGAGAAAAAGAAGTGCTTATGGTCATGATGCATGCAGACGGGTGGATGTAATTTCTTGCCTCTTTGTTGTCTTCCCCCATACCCACGTCTCCGTCGCTTTCAGCACGTTGATTGGTACAAAAGGAGAAAAACGAAATGCTTACATCAAAACACTGTTACTTGAGCGGTTTTAAAAACATTTGTGGCAGTCAATTCATGAGGCAATCAACTCCGTTAATGAAGCTATTCTATGATTAGTTAGCAATTATTACTTAGTCTCTTAACTAATAATAATAATAATTTTTATTTCCATCAGCGATGGAGGAGACTGCGGGTAAAAGTTGCTTGAAAGCACAAGCAACTTGACAGAGGCCCGCAGCCACCCCTACAGTGCAGGCAGCGATGGCAAACATTCACATAAAGAGAAAAAAAAAAATCACAAGAAACACATATTCGGAATACAGATATGTCTAAAAAAAAAAAAAAAAACACATCAGTAAGGAAGAATGAAAAAAAGCAATATTTTACACTATTTACTATGTTAGCATGAATTGATGAAATGCTCGCGCAGTGTTCGTGCAGAAGTTATTTTCAATTCAATGTGTAATTTATGAAATGAATTTAAAAGGGTTGGCAGCGTGTATGATAACTTCTGCGTAGAATAGCTTGTCCGCGCAGTGACCACCTTCCACTGTTCTATGTAACGAGTGCCGTATGAATGGGTGTTTTTGGCAAGATGAGATAACTCGTGGAAAAACTTTAGGTTTTCTTTTATCTCTCGTTTGAACGCTATACTTAACTTGTAATTGTATAAAGTAAACACGCGGATGACATTTCCCTTCAAGAATAAATCTGAAGTATGGGAATTGTAGGGTACATTGAAAAGCGCCCGCAGAAATTTTTTCTGCAGTACATGAAGTCTTTCAAGATTTGTATATGTCGTCGTACCCCATACCAAAAAACAATAATACAAGAAAGAAAAAAAGAGCGCATTGTAAACAAGAAGCTTTATTTTAAAAGGTAATATCAATCTGTGACGCGCCATCATACCAACCACACGAGATAGCTTGCCTAAAACTGATTCGATGTGTAAATCCCAAAGCATATTTTGTGTGAAGGTAACTCCCAGTATTTTCACACTACTCACTATTTCTATTTCTTCATTTGTGTAAAGAAGGGTGATGTGATCGCAGGTTATCTGTTTAGATTTTGGTCTGAAAATCACGGCTTTTGTCTTTTTAGTATTAATTTGCAAAACGTTTGCTGCTGACCATTCTTGGAGCGCCCTTAGAGCAGTGCTGGTGTTATTCTGAAGGCTACCAAGTTCAGGTGACGAAAAAAATAGACTAGCGTCGTCAGCGTACATAACGTATTTCGCATCACTGTAGATATTTACTAGGTCATTGATGTAAACTATAAAAAGAAATGGGCCGAGAATACTACCTTGAGGAACGCCTCTGCTGATGTGTTTTAAGTCTGAACGGTAATGCTCAATCTGGACGTACTGATGGCGATGATCTAGATACGACTTCCTGATACGACTTCCTGATGATCTAGATACGAATGAGACTTACTTTAAAACAAGTTCATAATGAAAAATTTTTCCTATGAGAACTGATAGCAGTTAGTTATAGTACCATGAGGTAATTTAGATTACAAAGGCTTGTCTAAATTTGAATTCTGTATTAAAGCTGAAGCGCCTAAAGGTCAATGTGACATAACAGAAAGAAATAAGTGCAAATTCAAGATCTTGTTTCCCTTGTTAGAGACTATATTAATGAGAACTAACTTACAATAATGCCAACAAAAGTACAGGAAATGTTATTAGAACTAATTGTGATGTAAATGTGAATAAAGTAAAGTGAATGAAAAGATAACTTACTGTGGGCAGGAACCGCACCTGCGATCTTTGAATAACGCAATGCGTCCAATGCTCTATTGCTAAGCTACGGTGGCAGTCATCACTCTATTTACTTTATGGAGTATGTATGTGCAATAAACGTGGGAGCATGATTCAGTGCCACGTGTTGGTGTGACATAGCACATGATCCTATTAGAAGATGGCAGCTAATTAATAATTCTTCGCATAGTACCTGAAGGCATCAAGTCTGCCATAACGACTCTCTCTCTATGAATAAAGGAAAGAAGTGCAAATTTTATTAATGTGACATCATAGGCTTTCAAGTCTTCTTTTTTTTTTGTGAATTGGCCACATTTGCTCAATAATTTTTTTCTGAAACATTTAGCAATACATATGTGAATCCATTAAAATGCAATGCAATTCACTTTACCTGATAGACAGTCAAGTAAACCCTTGTCAGTCCCATCCAAATTTATCATAATGAGTAGCGGCTAAAGCTAAAAAAAGTTCCATTGCTACTCGTATTATATTTTTGTCCGTTCCATGCCTTATCAAGCATATTTTTATTGCAGAACATTGTGGTGAGTGGTAGAGTCATTAGAACAAAAGAAGCTTTGCTTTCTTTGGCATTTTTTAAGACATGCTGTAGAGCAGTACTTGGTTTAAGGCGGCAGCTGTGGGGCCCAAAATGTTTCAGTAGCGCTTGTTGTTTGTTGCATTCATTGTTGTCACGAAGGGCAACTTATTGTAAAGTTTGTGTGGTCTTCGCAGATCCTCAGATTCTCAGCGAACACACGAGAACATGTCGGGCCACCAGTTCTTGGACCAGGCGCCAGCTGGTGTCGAGCACGTGTCGGACACTCGGAAAAGCTCATCAAAGAGCAAAGAGGCAGACAAGCAGGCTAGCACACGCTCAATGTCTGCATCGCGGAGTACTGCGATGAAAGAAACCACGGAGAAAACGAGCAGGTCAGATCGAAAAGATTCATCACGCAAAGAGACGCTCGACAAGAGCAGCAGGAGTGAACGGAAGGAACAGTCGGATGCCACCGGAAGAAGCAGGCCAGAGCAGAACGGTGGCAGTGCCGATTCCCAGAACAAGGTCTCGGCGAAAAACGAAAACCTAGAGGCACGAAATGGCATCGACAAGCGCGAGTTGTCGCATGAAACAGTAGGATCCTCGGAACTTAAACATATAGCCACAGCTGAGAACGCTTCGTACCCGGGCAGCTCTAAGAGTGAGGACAAGCCACATCGAACCACACAAGTGTGAAGAAGATGTGTGTAGAAGTGACCACCTTGTCTCTTAACAAGCTTACTAGTTGTGTTTTTTTTGTTTTTTTTGTATTATCACGTTCTCTCTTTCTCTTTTTTTGCTACATGTGAAGGCTGGCGACACTTAACAGTAGTGTGGAGTGTGAGCATGTGGTGTATCATAGACGTACTCCGGCCGCTTTAGCCCGTACTTACAGATGCCTTTCCGAGTGGCTTACTCTCACTTTAACGTAAAAGATTTTAAACGGAATTTCAAAGCAATACCTTAACATTGTGCCATTTCTGTGAAGGACTTTCACACTGATCGCATATGGGGAATGGATATGTGCTTTAGGCTATGAGCAACTTCAGACCACCTAAAGGAGCGCACTAACTCCATGCTCCTTAATATCGGTGCCAATGACAGCAGTGTCCCTAGTGGGTGCAAACGTATTGCAATACAGGTGTTCCTTGTGATCTCTGCACATACTGTTATGTGTTGCACTTCGAGTGCTCGCTTGTTTCTTGTATTGTTCGTAAACGTAGAGTCTTCTATTTTATTTGTTTCTTTTCTTAGAAACTGCACGCCATGTTATATGTACATAGCTTTATGGGTAACCCACATTTTTGTTTCCCAAGCATGCAGAGGCTTCGAGTCAGCCTTCACACTTTTTCCAAATACTCTGCTGAGAGCACGAGCGTCCTCGTGTTACTCACTGAAGCTAGAGGTAAACCCTGTGTATATACATATATATGTAGTCCAGGTTGATGCACTTGGCTAGACACAGGAACCCAACGAAACAAGGGATTCACTGCCTTTCCCCATGTGTGCCGACTCGTAGAGAAAAAAATGAACCGGTAACGTGACAGTTTCCGAGTGCCTACATTGTTTCCCTGCTCTCTTTGCGGAATCTAGACGTAGACTTAAAAAACCTGTTCCAAACAAGGATCTGTGATCGATGTGTGTTGACTGCCCACTTTCTTAGTTTCCTCGCACTTGCTCCGCAGTGACACATCTTAAGTTTTGCACTCTTGCTCATTCATTCCTATTGATCTGGCTAAATTTGTCATGCTTGCGCTAGTGTTGGTGTGATGGCCTCAAGCAGCCATCTCCTGCTGTCAGCAACACTGTACTGCCATTGATGTCGACAAACCGAAAACACCATTAGAAAAAAAGTTGAACCCTGTGTTTTTAGTACAAGCACATCTGGGTTTGCTTGCATAGGTGCTTGCAAAACATATGGCTGGGCCCCGAGGTTATTCCAAGTGTAGTATCAGACGCAAGTGAGCCATCAAATTTCTTGAAACAAACTTCCTTATATAATCTATATTGTGGTGCTCAAGCTCCTACGATTTCGCCCTTCGTTTAGACAATGGTGATTTGCTCATTTTGATTTGGGAACAGCCATGATGCTTACAAGTACGATGTGCAGGAGAACACTAAGAGTGATTGTCTCATCAGATACGTCGCGCGCTTGAGAAGATATTGAGCAGTGTTATCTATTTTGTCTGTAAAGTTGATGTCTAGCTTGAAGTGTTCGTCTGTCTAACTATTGGTAGGTGTTTGCTGCTAGCGGTGTATCGTCTTTGATTGCTTGAAGCATTGGTGGAAGGAATGGCGACTCGAACTTGCTTGCATGCCACATTTGCATTGAAACAAAAATTTTTCAGGTTTTTATTCTCGTGCTTAGTAAAGGTGCTGTGAATTCTTTGAAATGCAGCAGGTACGCATTCCGGATGCACCTGGTGTAGCCCTCTTTATACGTTTTTTAAGCTTTTTCCTGGTTATGTTTGGCATTGATTATCGTACTAGGTGTGCTGGAAAATGTTTTTTTGCGTGAGTGCTCAGCTGCAACCACAACTTGCTGTTAGAATGGTGCTTTTGTTGCCTTTTCTTTTTCTTTTATCATTACGCATTGTGGCCTTTACTATAAATAATACTGCCCTTGCGTGTTTGCTACATTTAGCTATTACATGCTGCTATGCGCGATTCTTTGATGACCATTGAGAGGGAAAGGGATGAAGCTATGACGGCGGAAGAAATATTTAGGAGGTGACTCACCTGTTAGAACAGCCATCGACTGGCATCCAGCTAACGTCACACATAATACAAAAATAACATGTTCTAACCGAGACATTGCAGTTGTCGGTGCCTTGCGGTGCAATGCCGCAGCCACAAAAAAAGAAAGAAAAGGAAACACTATTGGCCGAGCATTGCCGAACGCATGCCGCGACGCCGCTCTGTGTCTGTGGTGAAACATGAGCAACGTGCAAGACCTGAAACTGAAACGGCGGCAATTTTATTTCCCGTCGTGATACGCCGCCAGCAAATTGGCTCTCCAGCATTGTGACATAATCTGGTCGCCTTAAGAAGCAGAGTTGCACCTCTGAAATGTTTCTTCCTCCATGGCTGAAGGCGAATTGGTTTCCTTAATAACACACCCCTCGCACCTTTATTTGCAAGCTTATGACGAAGTGTTCAGTGGTGAAAGGAGCTATCATTCAAGAGTTGATTTTCTTGTGTTGGCACACAGGCTCTTATTGTTGACAGGAGTGAATGATGAGAGAGTATCATCTAGCTCGCTCTTCCATGAACATCTATAAGTCACAGGCAGCTTCTCTCAAAATGTGACAAGTCAAAGCGCTAGAGATTTTGTGTAAATTGCCCTGCATTTTGCTGGTGCCGTATGTTCTATTCAGTTAAAATGTGTGTGAAAGAAAAAAAAATTCTGGGCTGGCACTCACATCTTTGCAAAGCGGTAAGAGCAGTAATGGCTTTTGTGGCTGTGTGATTCCTGTTGAAAGAGCCTGCGTGTATATATATATGCACCAGCCCTAGCATCTGCCACTTAATGGCAGGCTGCCTGTTGCGACTACTGCTGCTACATTCAGGCCAACATGGCCTGAATGACATTGAAACACGAAACATTTATCAACTTCAATTGTGGGGACATGTCATAGGCGTGCCAACACAATTAGTATTATGCCAGATGCAAATAAAATATTCTGTCAAACAGTTTTTAAATAAGTGAGAGCTTCTTTATTATTAATGTTGAAATTTACCATCTTGGTATTGAGAACATCATAAAAAAATTTCATTACACTGAAATTTGCAAAAATATTTTAATTAAAAATGATAAAGGGCATCATGAATTTACAAAAAGTAGCTGGATTAAAGGTTTAAGATTTTAGGAGGTGACAGTGGTGTATTATATTAAGTCAGCTTCGTTGACGAAATAATATCAATGTACACTTCTATAGTTTTGTGGCCTAGGAAATGATGTGGGTCTTCTGTGGTGATGTCACTAAATAATGATTAAGAATGATAATAGCGCACTAAAAACGAGGACACAAAAAAGGCACACACACACACATACATAGTGTACTTAGCGTGTGCCTTCTACATATATAGTGTGTTCCTTCTTTGCGTCTTCATTTTTACTCCACTATTACCATTCTTAATCATAGAATACCAACATGCCCAGATGTCCACCTTAGTCACTAAAGAAAAGTGCATTTTGGTTCAAAGGCTCACCGAAGCATTATCTTTTTTATGTCGTGTGATGACATTATTTTGGTATATTTAATCAAATGAGAGTACTTGAATGCCGCATTGTTGATTAATAGTACCTAACAATATTCACTCCAACATCTTATTATTTATCATTGCGAGTGGTTTTGTTCATTGAGGAGGTCTAACCGAGTTGTGTAACTTGCTGCACATTACACTGAGTTTTATTATTGTAAATATATAATTCATGCTTAGTTCATGTTTGATTGGGTATAGCTCATAAAGTAAAGTGTTTGGAGGCCACTTGAATGGTTTGGACATCTTTAGAGAAACACTAAAGACAAATATCAAGTCGGCGTTGATTGTTAAAATAGCAGTCCAGAAACCACATAGTGCAACTTTTGTGCCAAGGAAGTGCTTATTTTGAAATAAAATCACATTTTAGTGGTCTTCATCCTATTAGCATACTTGTAAAACAAAAATGAGAACAATTAATTATTAGGGCTCCCTTCTTTTCCTCTGAGTAAAAGCTAGTATTTTAGCAAGTCCTGAAATTTTAGTTAGTTGGTACAGCTTCGAATTCTGTGCTTTCATCAAACGCTACGTTCTCTGTGCATTCTGAAATCTTCACTTCAACTGGGTCTGTTATATGGATATAGACATGTACAAGCTGTGAACTAACAGGTAGCCACCAGTGGATTGAAGCTTGGACTTCTGAAAATTGTTCTGAGAAATGTTTATACCAATACCAATAATTTTAAATCTCCTTTTACTGGCTGCCTCCGTATATAAGCTAGAAGGTATGAAGGCTGTTGCTAGTCTTGAGTGCCCTGCAATTCCCAAGATGCTTATGCACGGGCACATTACGGTATTGTGTCACGGATGTGTCTTTGGACAAACATGGTGCACGCATGCTTCAGCCATCAGCCACCATATTTGTCACTCCAGTGGGCAAATGTATTGTGCTCACCATTTCCTTTCCTTCAGACAGGTTGGCCTGTAACGGGGATTTCTCAGTGGCATAGTTTCATGCAGTGATTACTGGTGTTCAGTGGAATGCAAAAGCAGTATATCAGCTTCCACGAGAGACAAATATGCTTGCTGCTTTTCAGGTTATATATTGAAAGTGTGATACGTACATTTGCTGCACAATTTTCATTACTGTAAGGGTGCGTATTTTTTTTTTTTACATCGAGAGATTGAAGTGATCTTTAAAATGGCATCAATTGCGGGCCTTTGAAAGCAAATTTTTCTGTGAAAACATTTGTTAGCAGGGTAATGGTAGTAGAATAAAAAAAAATATATGATTTTTGCCAACCAACACGTTTGTTACATCAGCTTAGGAAAGGTTCCCGTAAATTTCAAGCATTTAAAGTTAAAGCCGCTACCAGAAAAAAAAAAATTCTGCAACCCATCATTTTCGAGCTGGGCGTGCTACTGGATGTGCTGAACCCCTAATTTCCCCTCGCAATTCCCTATATTATACTCCTACGGTTTGTGGTTATTGTTCTGCATGTGTTCTCTCACCATCAATAACCATTAAATACACAACACAGCACTGTTGTTTCCTTATATGTTAGATTGGAGCCTTGGTATCTGCCCTTGTTGATGACTTGCTGAATATATGCATATATTGTGTGGATATTACAGGAAGCAAGTGTATATAATTATAAATATATATTATATTATACGATAATAAATTGTTGGAGATGTTGATCCTTGATTCACATAGTCACTCCATTATCAACTGCAATTGCTCCACTTTTTATTCCTCAAGCATTGCGGTGGTGTTGATGTCACTGATCGAGATGTCTGCTTTGTTCTTTCATGACGTAACTGAAACCCTCCATGCAAATAAATTTTATTGAATGGGGTATTCGCTGCTATTGCAGGTGTTGAAACATATTTTGGGGAAGCCCTTGAACTTCGCAGTGAGAACACCATTTCCTGCTCAAAGAACACTTTGCAATGAGATGTTTGCTTTCTAATGATTAAGGCCTAGTTCAAGGGGCTTCCTGCATATATGTAGACATATGAAGCACCATGAGCGTTCTTCCATACTGAAAATTCAAGTAGACAATGTACTGAATGTTGGTATAATGTGTGTGCCCGACATTTCACTAGTTAAGAGCTAGACACAAACGTGTTCATTCTGCGAAGTTTCCGTGCTGATATAGCAACACAAAAAGGGTAGAAATTACCTTATGAGTCATCATGACTCCATGGACTGTGATAACAGCTTGATATTGTACTGATAGTGTTCAAGCGCCCCCACTTGCGATGCATCGCGTGAAGCGGCGCATGTAAAAGCAAAACTCCATCCGCGAGGTGGCGCTGCTGCTACCTTAATCGTATATGGTATATGCAACCTATGTATATGGTATACCTTTAAGTTGCATATACAGTAACTATTTAATCGAAGCGCGCGGCCCTTTCAGAGTGCAATGAATTTTTTGAAAGGGTCGATGCCGCCTTGCCACGCGCGTCCGTCATGTTTTGGCCTACGCCACGCTTCTTTAAACCTGTACGCGGCGCCTGCCGCCTTGTCACCTGTCTGATTTGTCACAAGTCCCGCAAGATGACTGCATGCTGCGTGCCACACAGTGCATGAACCACTCAGAACTTGATTAAGGGTGGTTTTTTTCGCAAACGACCCTAAAAGAAAGCTTTTGTTAACAGTGAGAATAAAGAGTGAGAAGTGGCAGCTGACGAATGCCTCTCGTGTATGCAGTGTGAATATTGCAAGCTTTGTTGTTGTTTATCACCTTTCTTTACTTGGGTACTTGGGGTACGATTTTCAAAACTGCACGTATATTACCAGTAACACAGTCACAGATCACAGGTTTTGACTTAGTGTGCGTACCTGTTGCACCTTAACATGATCAAACGTTGAGCGAACATGTTAACCCCAATGTTATTATGGCATAAAGTTTCAAACTGAATGTTTCATGGCATTTGAACCATTCTCAGAAATTTTGTGTTGTTTTTGGGGTATGCTTTTAAGTAGTACTTAAGCTGTCGTGGCGGGCTTCTCCTTTTGTTTATATACATCTGCTCAGTAATATATATATATATATATATATATATATATATATATAAATAAGGGAAAGAAGTGTATACCTAAGGGCTCGTTTTTCCGTGTTTTAACACAATATTAATGAGATATAACAGACAGTAATGCCAAGGAATGTACAGGGGAAGTTATTAGAACCAATGGAATGTAAATAAGAAGAAAGAAGAAAGAAAAGTGCATGAAAAAATCCACTTTTCTTTCTTCTTTCTTCTTATTTACATTCCATTAGTTCTAATAACTTCCCCTGTACATTCCTTGGCATTACTGTCTGTTATATCTCATATATATATATATATATATATATATAGTCACGTTTCTTAAGACAAACTTGGTTTAATGGGTTCGTTGAGTCGACTAGCCGAGCAGCAGCTCAGACAGAGCGTCTTTGTCTTCTTTCACTCCTGGATCTCACCCAAGCATATCATGTGGCAATAGTCCCCCCTTTGAAAGCATCGACTCGATGCTCGTAAAGAGAAAAAAAATGAAGGCATACTTACGTAGATACAGAGAACCAAAAGAAAGAGAGTGCCAGTACTCGCACCGCAAATTCTTGCGCCAAGCGCAAAAAGAAAAGGCATAAAAACACAGGAGAACACGAACAGCAGCAGCAGTAGCACAATGTCACGGCATGTCGCAACACGTGAACCACGAGGGCTACTGTGTGAAGTAGGGCTTCAGCCTAACGACATGCACGGTTTCGGGCCGAAGCTGTCGACGAGAAGACGCTGAGCCGTCCAGAAATACCTCGTAGGTAAGATCTGTGACACGTCTAAGAACCTTTTACGGTCCAAAATAACGGCTTAGGAGTTTTTCGGATAAGCCTGGTCGCCGGACAGGGGTCCACACCCGCACTCGGTCCCCAGGGTGGTAGGTGACGTTTTGATGGCGGAGGTTGTAACGTTGTGCGTCTTCATCTTGTTGGTGACTGGTGTTTATGCGAGCTAGATGACGAGCTTCTTCGGCGTATTGAGTGTATTGCTCAGCGTCTGGAGCGATTTCATTGCTTTGGTCACACGGAAGCATAGCATCGAGCATGGTTCGCACGTTGTGTCCGTTAACGAGTCGGAAAGGCGGAAATCGCGTTGTTTCTTGCGTTGCCGTATTGTATGCAAACGTGATGTATGGAAGAATTTCGTCCCAGGTTTTGTGTTGTACGTCAACGTACATTGACAGCATGTCCGCTATGGTCTTGTTAAGCCTCTCTGTCAGTCCATTCGATTGCGGGTGATAAACTGTCGTTTTTCCATGACTTGTGCAGCTCAATTTAAAAATGTCCTCCATCATTCGGGCTGTAAATGACGTCCCTCTGTCCGTAATCACGCATGACAGGGCACCATGCTGTAGGGCGATTTGGTGCACGAAGAACTGCGCGACTTCAGAGGATGTGCCACAGGGTAACGCTTTTGTTTCAGCATAACGAGTAAGATAATCTGTCGCAACTATAATCCATTTGTTCCCAGAGGACGACAAATGGAAGGGTCCGAGAAGGTCCATTCCCACGAGGTCAAACGGTGTCTGTGGCGGTGCGATCGGTTGGAGCAGGCCCGCGGGTCTCACAGGCGGAGTCTTGTGACGCTGGCACTCACGGCAGCCTTTCACGTATCGATGTACACTAGTTGATAGTCGCGGGCGGTAATACTGTTGGCGTACTCTGGCGAGAGTTCGCGAATAGCCCAAATGTCTTGACGTGGGCTCGTCGTGGCACGCAAGGAGGATCTCGTCCCGCATTTCGGTAGGAACAACGAGTAGGAAGGCTTTGTCGCTACCACGGGCGTTTTTCTTGTAAACAATGGCTCTTCCTAGAAAAAAAGAGGACAGTGCGCGAGCAATGTGTCGAGGGACCTAAGAGTTCCGGCCTTCCATGGAATCAATAGCTGGGCGTAATTCGTCGTCTGCCCGCTGTTTTGACATGAATTCGGAATCGCTGACTGCTCCGAGAAAGGCATCTTCATCCTCGGAGCCCCTGACAGCGTGCCCCACAGGCGCCCGAGAAAGCGCGTCGGCATCTTCGTGTTTGCGCCCTGACCTGTACACAATCGTAATATCGAACTCCTGCAAACGCAAACTCCACCGAGCGAGACGGCCGGATGGATCTCCGGGATTTGCCAGCCAGCAGAGCGAGTGGTGGTCAGTCACCACTTTGAAAGGACGACCGTAGAGGTAAGGCCGAAACTTGGTCGTCGCCCACACGACTGCGAGGCATTCTTTTTCCGATGTAGAATAGTTGGTCTCGGCTCGAGAAAGAGTACGACTGGCGTAAGCTATTACATGTTCAACGCCGCCGTGTCGTTGTACAAGGACAGCGCCAAGTCCGACGTTGCTGGCATCTGTATGAATTTCTGTAGCAGCGTCCTCATCAAAATGGGCAACAACAGGGGTTGTTTGCATTCTCTGCCGTAGCTCTGTGAACGCTGCATCTTGTTCTGCGCTCCAAGTAAAAGGCACGTCATCTCGGGTGAGTCGCGTAAGAGGTTCAGCTATCTTCGAGAAGTTGGCGATAAATCGGCGATAATACGCGCACAAGCCGAGGAAACGGCGTACTGCTCTCTTATCTGATGGAACAGGGAAGACGGCGACAGCAACAGTTTTGTCTAGATCAGGTCGCACTCCATCCGCACTAATGACATGTCCCAGAAATTTCAGCTCTTCCTAGCGGAAATGGCATTTTTGGGGTTTCAGCGTGAGTTTAGCTGTGCGAATGGCGTTCAGAAACTTTCTCAGACGCTTCAGATGTTCTTCGAAGCTCTCGGAAAAGATGACCACATCATCGAGGTAGACAAGGCAGCTTTGCCACTTCAAGCCAGCGAGAACTGTGTCCATTATTCTCTGAAAAGCGGCTGGGGCAGAACAGAGGCCGAAGGGAAGAACACGGAATTCGTAAAGTCCGTCTGGAGTCACAAACGCGGTTTTTTCTCGGTCTCGTTCATCCACTTCAATTTGCCAATAGCCACTCTTTAGATCGATGGACGAAAAATACTTCGTGCGTCGTAATCTGTCGAGAGAGTCGTCGACTCGTGGAAGCGGGTAAATGTCTTTTTTCGTGACGCTATTAAGCTTCCTGTAGTCAATACAAAATCGCAGCGTTTCGTCTTTTTTCTTCACTAGAACGACTGGCGAGGACCAAAGGCTGCTGAATGGTTGAATGATCCCGTCATCGAGCATATCTTTTACTTGTGTCTGAATAGCCGCACGTTCTTTGGAAGAAACGCGATAAGGTTGCTGCCGGATGGGGCGGACGTCATCGTCGGTAATAATTCGATGCTTGGCGAGGTGTGTTTGACGGACTTTGGAAGAAGAGGCGAAGCAAGACCGAAACTCCCTTAAAAGGTCATGAAGTGCAGCCTTTCTCTTGCTCGACAGCGTCGAATTAATGTCGATGTGGTCTAGAAATTCTTCATCCTCATGTGTTTCCTCGGACGCGAAGCACTCCGTGACGTCGGCAACAGGGTCTCCATAGGCTACGGTGGTTCCGCTGAAAAGATGCCGGTGCTCGTAGTTGAAGTTCGTAACTAGTATTTGCGACTGTCCGTTACGGACACGCACAACACTTCGGACGGCACATACACCTTGGAGTAGCAGAAGTGGTAGGTTGCTTTCAGCCACCACGTCACCGTCCCGGAGGTCTTCACAAATGACTTCAATGGGAACAG